TTGAGGTGGAGTCCTGCTCTGTCTCCCAGGCTGGAGTGCAGTGGCACGATCTCAGCTCACTGCAACCTCTGCCTCCTGGGTTCAAGCAATTCTGCCTCAGCCTCCCGAGTAGCTGGGACTACAGGGACATGTCACCATACCCAGCCAATTTGTGTATTTTTAGTAGAGATGGGGTTTCACCATGTTGGCCAGGCTGGTCTTGAACTTCCATCTTCAGATGATCCGCCCGCCCCAGCCTCCCAAAGTGCTGGGATTACAGGCATGAGTCACTGCGCTTGGCCTAATTTTTGTATTTTTAGTAGAGATGGGGTTTTGCCACGTTGCCCAGGCTGGCCTTGAACTCCTGGCCTCAAGTGATCTGCTACCTCAGCCTCCCAAAGTGTTGGGATTACAGGCATGAGCCACTGCTCCCAGCCTGTTCTTTTTAATAAATGGTGCTGGGACAATTTGATATACATAGGAAAAAACTTCAGCCTGTCCTCATACACACAAGTCCATTTCAGATGGATATGTAGCATAGAGGACTATAGCCATGATATCAGGGGAAGAGAAGATTTTCTGGGAGGACTCCCTAAAGGAAAAGATCAATGACGTTGACTACATTAAAATTAAGGGCTTATGTTCATCCAAAGACATCACTAAAAGTGAAAGATAAGTACCAGGATACACACACACATACACGCTATAAATCAGTAAGAAAAAGGCCAGGCCAGGCAAGGCGACTCACGTCTGTAATCCCTACACTTACAGGAGGCTGAGGCTGGAAGATCGCTTGAGCCCAAGAGTTTGAGACTAGCCTGGGCAACATAGTGAGACCCCATCTCTACAAAAAATTTAAAAATCAGTCAGGTGTGGTGGCACACGCCTGTAGTCCTAGCTACTTGCGAGGCTGAGGCGGGAGGATCACTTCAGCCCAAGAGGTTGAGGTTGCAGTGAGCCCATGATTGCACCACTGCACTCCAGCCTGAGCAACAGAGCAGGACCCTGTCTCAAAAAAACATGTTTTTAATGAAGAAAAAAGAAAAAGACCATCCAGTAGAAAACCGGGCAAGAAACTTGAGTAGGTTCTTCACAAAAGAGAACATCCAAGTGACCAAGAAACAGGTAAAGGTCTCAACCTTATTTCGGTAAGAAAAATTTAAAATGAAGGAAAATGTGATTTAAAGCTCCAGTGAGCTACCACTGTTCACTCACTAGGATGGCCGAAATTTAAAAGATTGGTAATGTCATGTTTTGGTGAGGTGTAGAGGGGCAGGCATCAGATACCACTGCTGGGGGAGTGCTGGCTGATAGGACCATGCTGGCAGTTTGGTGTTACCTTTTGGGAGGGAACATACATGGGCCCTGTGCAGTGTCCTTCTTGGGTGTGTGCGCAACAGAGATGTGTGCACGCATGTACCGAGAGCCTGCACCATGGTGCTCAGCACTGTGTGCGTGGCCCCCACAGGAAGGGCAGCCCACGTGTCCATCAGCACTGGAATGAACGGTCATTGTGGCAGATTCCCACGCAGAATGTTACATGGTGTGGAACATGAACACACCCCTTTACAGGAAACCATTTGAGAAAATCTCATGGACATAATTTTGGATTAGAGGCTGGGCACAAAAATAAACATACTGTATAATTCCTTTTGTATAAAGTTTCAAAAAAAATTGGTAAAAGTAAAGTACCAGCTTTGGGATGCATTCTTTGGCAGTGAAGTCTTAAAGAAAAGTAAAGAGGTAGTTTCATAAAATTCAGAATGATGGTTAACTTTGGTGGAAGGTAGTAATGGTAAGGGCACAAACCTCTCCCTCACATTTACTGAGCGCTTACTATGCGTTAGGTTCTATTTCGTGTGTTTTAGAGATGACGAAACGGGGCAGAGAGGTTGGCCAACTTGCCTCAGCCGCGGCTGCAGGATCAGAGCCTGGCAGGCTGGTGCCTCACCTGAAACTGGCGAGGTGAAAGCGCCTCATGCACCTCGATGGCAACACGAAGCAGTGTTTCGATGGTGAAAACAACCACACCTATTATAATACCTCTAATATTTTAAAGGAGAATGCCCAGAAGGTTTTTGTTTTCTCTCTGACTTCTCCTAGACACCCCCAAAATGAGCCCCCGCCACCCCAGTCCCATGAGCCTGCCTCCACCAGGAAGGGAGCACCCAGAGAGCAGAGGCCCTTAGTCAGCCCTGATCATAGCTGGGGCCCCGGGCCCACAATAAGGCCTCCGGAAGTGCCTCCTTATACACAGAGTAACTAAGTGGGCCCTGACTCCACAGTGGTGAGAAGGGGTATGGGCCAGGCGCGGTGGCTCAGCCTGTAATCCCAGCACTTTGGGAGGCCGAGGCGGGCGGATCACGAGGTCAGGAGATCAAGACCATCCTGGTGAACACGGTGAAACCCCGTCTCTACTAAAAAACTACAAAAAAATTAGCCAGGCGTGGTGGCGGGCGCCTGTAGTCCCAGCTACTAGGGAGGCTGAGGCAGGAGAATGGTGTGAACCCGGGAGGCGGTGGAGCTTGCAGTGAGCACCGCTGCACTCCAGCCTGGGTGACAGAGCAAGACTCCGTCTCAACAACAACAACAACAAAAAAAGACGGGGTGTGGAGCGCATGCCCAGGCCTCAGTGGAGACATAGGAAGTACCAGGGTGGGCAGAAGTCTTTGGCAGAGTCTGGGTTCCCATGCCTGCTCCTGTCCCTTCTCAAGCCTGCCGCCCCAGGACTTTGAGCTCCATCCTTTGAGCCCCCTCAGCCGGACACACCCTGTTGTCTGCCCTGTACCTCCCCTGTGTGTCTTCACGTGCCCACCCCTTGCCTTGTCCTTCCCAAGGGCCACAGATCGTGCTCAGCGTGTATGGACCAGATGTGTTCGGGAACGATGTGGTTCGAGGCTATGGGGCCGTGCACGTGCCCTTCTCACCTGGCCGGTAGGTCCTCACTCTAACCTGGGCCCTGGGCAGGGCTTGTCCTAGGACAGACCTCACCTCGTTTTCTGTCTTAGGTTCAGGCTGGGAATGCTCTGGGGTCCCCAGGAGCCTGGGCAGCTCAGCCTAGTGGCTGGGGGCGTGTAGCCTGTATTTGGGAGGAGAACCTTTCGGATGGCTGGTGCCAGCCACACACCAGGTGGGGTGGGGAGGTCATGGGCCCCAGAAAAGAAAAGACCCCGAGGGACTCTGTCCTCCATGAGGCTGTCTCCTGGCGCTCAGCACCTGGCCCAGACACAGCGGTGCTCAGCACAGGCTGGATTCATTGGCATTGGCCCTGACTTGGCCCACACTGCAGCTGCACTGGCCTGATCTGAGCGTTTCTTCTCCCTGGAGGCTCAGAAAGGTCTGTTACTCAGCACGTCTGTCTGCAAAAACATTTGTTTCAGGCACAAAAGGACCATCCCCATGTTTGTCCCAGAATCTACATCTAAACTGCAGAAGTTTACAAGGTGAGTCTTACACCCATCACCCCGGCCCCTCCTTCTGATCTACTGGATGAACGGATGTCCCATTCTACCCCTCAGTTTGTGCCTGGTCGCCTCCTCAGATCTGCAAGCTGCTCCACCCACTGGGGACAAATAGAAACAGGTCCCCTGGGAGTGCTGAGTCACGGGGCTCCCTTCAGCCCTGTTCTAGCAGCAGGAGGCCGGGCAATTTTAACCTGTGCCCTGTGAAAAATCCGTGTGTCAGATGGCGCAGAGGAAAAACTCTTGTCAGATGGGAAAATACTCATGACATAATGTGACATTAAAAGGTGGGAAACAAGAGGATATAGCAGTATGAGTCAGACACCTTGGAACAGTAATCATGATCAACGGCTTTACATGTGGGAGTCTCTGGCTAGAGCTGACATTTGCGCAGAGGCTTAGTGTGGAGGGAAGAGCCGGGGAAGAACACCCGGCACAGGGAACAGTGCCTGCCAGGCTGAGGACAGCATGAGCTTAGCATGCTAGGAGAAGCCAGGATGGCGGTGTGGCCAGGACGGCCGTGTGGCCAGTAAGTGGTAAGCCAGGCAGAATGAGGGAGACATCAGGCAGGCAGGCAGGGACCAGGACACAAGGGCCTGCAGGGAGGGGCCAGGACACAAGGGCCTGCAAAGAGGGCCCAGGGGATGCCGGGATGCAGCCCCAGCAGGAAGGCCTCTTACTCCTGCCCACATCCAAGTGGGAACTTAGAGGGCCAGCTGGGCCCTGGCCTTCTGACTCGAGGCCCATTAGCACAGTTGGGCAGCAAGCCTCTGCCGCCCCCCGCAGATCAGTGAGGCACAAGGGGAACATGGAGGACTCCCTGGGTTCCAGGGCAGCAGCCAGCAAGCAGCCCCTGCGAGCCTGGCCACTACTGGGCGTGAGACCAGGCCAGAGCCCTGCTGGGTGGAGGGACAGCATCATGCCTCAGGGCCGAGAATGCCTCACTGAGCTCTGAGAGCCGTGGAGGGGAGGAATGGCAGGGTCTCCGCTGACCTCAGCCTGAGAATTTGTGTGCCCACTGCCCCAGGAGTCCTTCTGGGAGGCCACCCTGTGGCAAAGGACTTCTTTCCCAGATGACCTGGGCCAGTATCACCTGGAGGTGACAATCCCCATGCCACAGGCTGTCAGGGAGGCAGCGAGACAGTGCCTGTCAGTGGGTTGGGAAGGCCTAAGGGATTAGGGACCCACACAGCCATCCCGGCTGGGTTGTTAACCCTGTTCCACCGCCCACAGCTCCAAGGAGGACTTTGGGCCTTCAGGGAACAGCTCGCTGAGGAAAGGGTTTCAGAGCCCCTGTGGAGGGGCTCACAACTGGGCAAGGCAGTATGTGCTTGGATTACAAAAACGGGGGAAAGGGTCTATTAGTGAAGGCAGTTTGATTGGCATAATCTTCCCAAATGTGGAGGCTCCTTGCTCAGACTGAGACCTCGGTCATCCCCACCCCTCTCCCAGCCTCTCCCCACATCCTCCAGTGCTGGCCCAGGGCCTGCCTCAAACACTCTTGACCCCTGTATTCGTTTCCCACGGTGGCTGCTGCAACAAGACACACAAATGTGATGGCTGAAAACAGCAGAAATGTATGTCCTCACAGTGCTGAAGGCCAGAGTTCAAAATCCAGGTCACTGGGCCCAGAAAGGCGCCACCGGGCCGTGCTCCCTCCCGAGGCTCTAGTGGAGACTCTGTTTATTGCCCTTTCAGCTTCCGGGGGCCCCACCCTTCCTTGGCTTATGGCCTCACCTCTCGAGTCCCTGCCTTCACGGTCACAGGGCCACCTCCTCTGTCTCCCTCTCTGATAAGGATACTTGTGATGGCCTTTAGGGTCCACCGGGATAGTCGCCTCAAGATCCTTAGCCTAATCGTATCTGCAAAGTGCACGTGACCCTGTTTCTCAATAAGGTCACGTGCACGGTTTCCCAGGACTAGGATCTGCTGTCTTTGAGGGGCCGCCATTCAGCCTGCTGCAACCCCTCCAGTCTAGTCTTCACACAGCAAGAAAAACGGTGTTCCTAAAACACAATTGGGGTTGCACCCCTCGCCTGCTAGAACCCGCCCGGGCTGTGCCTCTGTCAGGATGAACTTCAACCAGAATGCTGCCAGGCTGGTAGTCGGGCCCTGCCCACGCCATGGCCTCTGCCCACTTGCTTCCCATCCGCCTCAGTTCCTCCAGTCTGAGGGGTCCTTCCCTGCCTCAGGTCCTTGCCTGGAATGCCCTCCCAGAACAGTCTGTCTTGTCTCTCCCACCCCAGCCAGCTAAGCAGACCACCCAGGTGGACCCTAGGAAAGAAATTCAGTGGGAACGGGAGCTCCATGTGAGCGCCGGGCTGGGATCTGCTGGGCACAGTGGGGACGCTCCCAGGCCCCTGTCCTCACACACAGCCTCCTGTGAGGTGGGTGCTGTGACAGCCTCGCTCTCCCGAAGGAGACACTGGCGCAGGGGTTGTGGCTGCCCATCCCTTCCCCCTGGGGAGCGCCCGCTGGCTTTCACTCCCTGGCTTCCTCCTTGGGGTTGGGGGCTGGTGGGCAGTGCTCCCTGGCTGTGGTCTCCACAGGCCAACTCTGCAGCAGCCGGGAGCCCCTCCCTGGCCTGGGCCCCTCTGCAGCAGCCCCAGGTGAGCGCTGGTGCCCACTTCAGAGACAGGAGGGCGGTGTGTGGGCTGTTGCATCGCCACGGTTGCCAGTGACCCTCGGGGGCTGGGTGTGTCCTTGCGGGGGGGGGGGTGGCCCTGGGAGCTGTGGTGCAGAGGAGGCGCGGCCGCGAGTCCCGGCGGGGCGAAGCCCGCGGCTGCCGGACCCACCCGGCCGGGAATAGTGCTCCTGGTTGTTTCCGGCTCGCGTGGGTGTGTCGGCGGCGGGGCCTGACACCCCCGGCCTCCTGGCCTCCCGCCCAGCCCGACTGGGGTCTGGGGCTAGGGAGGGCACATGCTCAGCCTGGTGGCTGTGGGCCACCCCTGGCAGGGCCTGCGGTGGGTGCCAAGATGGGAAGTGACATGTCCTGTACCCCACACTAGTGGGAGGCAAGGCTGAGGAGGCCAGTTCGGGCCCTTCTGCCCACCCCACAGACTCTCTGGGGTAGGGCCCCCTTCCAGGAAGGCTGGAGGGTCACACTGTCCCCGCCCCTCCCCCACCTCAGCTGCTGTCACTTTTCTGGGATTTCTGGGGGTTCAGGCAGCACCCCCACCCCAGAATCTCCCTGAGCTCTCATTCCCAGTGAACCAAACCCATGGAAGCCAGAGATGGAAAAGCCTAACCGGCCAGCGGAGGCAGCATGGCCACAGAGCGCCTGAGGCCTGGCTAGGCTGTGTGACCCCGGCAAGGGACAGCACCACGCTGGAGCCCGGCCACCAGGAAGGCTCTGCTTAGGGCCTGACTCCTGGTGGGGGTGGGGTGCAGCTGGAGCAGGAGTGCTGGTTTCTGAACAGAGAGCCCACATCCAGCGTCGTCCAACGCCAAGAATGCCCAGGTGGGGCTCTGCTCACCTGTGTTCTTCTGTGTTCCCAGCTGGTTCATGGGGCGGCGACCCGAGTACACAGACCCCAAGGTGGTGGCTCAGGGTGAAGGCCGGGAAGGTAAAGCTCCCTCCCCTCCTCTACCCTCAGCCCCCAGACAGGTTAGAACCTGGGAGTAGATGGGCCCAGGGTTGGGGTGAATGCCGGGGACCTGCCAGGCACATGGGAGCTAGCCCACAAATGTTCCCAGATGAGGGCCTGGTTGGAGCACAGAGGGTTTGTCATGTCTGCCTGTCCTGGCAGCCCCTTTACCTCCCAGTGAGGGGCATGGGTCAGGCGCTGTTGTCCCCATTTTACAGATGAGAACACTGAGGCTGAGAGATTCCCAGATCAACCTGGGTCTGTCTCTGCCCCATCCCAGCCTGACTGATGCTGTCCTTCTGTCCCCAGTGACCCGTGTCCGTTCTCAGGGCTTTGTCACCCTCCTCTTCAACGTGGTGACCAAGGACATGAGGAAGCTGGGCTACGACACTGGGCCTTTGGACACACAGGGTGTGTCGCGGCCCAGCCCACCCCAGGGCTTCCCCCAGTGAAGGCTCCACAGGCTGCAGAGTTTCTGATAATGAAGGGCTGCCTTCCCGGAGTCAGGCGGCTGGCCATCAGCCTGAAGGGCAGCCTGGTGGTGGGAGCTGGGGGCACACAGAATAGTTTTATATAATAAAGTCTCATTTTCAGAGAGCCTAGGCCTGGGGCTGCCTTCTCTCCTGTTTAGCCCCTCCCCCACAGGAGCTGGGAGCTCTTGGACCTTTCCTGGCCCCACCTCCAGGGCCCTCCCTGTCCCTACCCCTTGTGCCATGGAAGCTGCCAGAAGACCAGACCGTGCAGCAGGATGGCATCTGGGATGGGAGCTTTGACATCACCAGGTTCTGCCACTCACAGCTGTGTGGCCTTTTCTATACCTCAACACATTGTTCCTTGAACTGGGCATGGCACCCTCCTTGGAGGCTTGGGGGTTAAGTAGAATCACCCACTCAGCCATGCTCCTGGCCACCAGCCTCCCTTGGCAAGGAGAGAACCCTGTTATCGGGAGCTGGATGATGAGGTACCTGGGGGACGGCAGACCCTCAGCCTGCCCACTCCCCTCTCTGCTCCTCCCTACCCACAGTCCAAGGATGGGGGCTGGAAACCTCCCAGAGGTGGGAGGCTGCTGGCTGGGGTCGCAGGAGAGGAAGGTGAGCCCCCTGGCTCAACACCCTGACCTCTGAGGTTGTCCGGGCCCTTCTGGAAGCAGAACCCCTTTAGCATTACTTTGGGGGCCCTGGCCCTGGGCCTCCCTACCTTCCCAAGAACCCCTGGCACCTCACGAGGCAGCCCTGGGCCCTCTCTGTCCTGCCACTGAGCTTTAGGCAGACATGGTGCCCCAGCCTAGATACTGCCCTCAGCGGGATCCAAAAGAAACCACAGGCTCCTGGCACACCCCCACCTCCCAGCCTCGCCCATGTTGCCCTGGACTGTCATGGGCACTTGCCCTGAGACCATCTGGGCTGACCCTCTTCTGCTCTTTGTCTCACGAGCACTCCCGTGCCCTCCCCAGAACTCACTGTGCGTTCTGGAACTCATGGTCTGTTGGCAGCAAAATTCCTGTGATTCCCACCATCTTCTCGGAATAGGAAGTTCCCTCTGCCTTCTGGCCTTACTGAAGCCCGCTCAGTCCCCTGCAGCCCTCTTAAGTGGAATCTTTTTCCTCCCACTCCCCATGTGCAGTGAGCCTAGAGCAGGGGTGTGTCCTTGCCTCTTCCTCAGCCTCCTCACTTGGAACGATCTTCACCTCTACCCCTCACAGCCAGGCATATCTCCTGTTACTGGTGAAGGCACTGCCTCCGAGGTCTAGATCGAGGCATCCCTCCCTCAGGCCAGGCCCTTCCCCATGTGGCACTTCCCTGTGCTCTTCAAACCACCAGGCCCTCCAAGCCCCGGGACCAGCCCCTTTTTCCTTGCTTTCCTCCCAACCCAGTTTAGAACTCCTGGTCATCTGCATGCACTGCCCCATAGTGCCCTCCATCCTTCGTTTATGCTCACCCGGCAGAGTCTCCACCCTGGTGACAGCCAGCTGTTCCTTCGCCTGCCCTGCACCTGCCTGAGCCCCTAGAGCCACGACGGCCCACGTTCCATCCATGGCCCAGATCTATGTTTCCTTAGACAACTCCCTCATGCATTCTCCGAGGAAACTTACAGCCTTTGTCTCCAGAGCTCCAGCACCCTCCCTGCCAGCTTAGCTGAGGCGCTCCCTCCCGTTCCCACAACGACCCCACATTAGCTGCCTTCCTGACCCTACCTGAGGACAAGGCTTGGGTATGTGGGAGATGCAGCGCTCTCAAGGGTCTTCTCCCCATCTCCCTCCATTGTGAGTTTTCCTGCACAGGCTCCTGCACACCAGCCTCCACATGTGCCCCATATGTGTCACGGGATGACACAGAGCAAAAGCCCAGCACCCCCAGCTGCTCCTGTCCTCTGCCCCATTTTATCACAGCGCTCCAGAAAGCTGTTTTCTCTGTCCATGGCTTCACCTCACCCAGGCCAGCCTTGGTCCACATAAAGGGGACCTGAAACTTCTTCCCTGAAGCCTCTAGCCTGAGGCGTGCCTGTTCAAGCGTCAGGCCCCATTTGTCCAGCCTGTCAGCAGCTGGGAAATACTAAGTCACCCTCTTCTGGTTATGTTTAATTTTCCAGTTTTTCTCAACATTACTGAAATGTCTAAACATGGAAAAGTTGACATCATTTTACAGTGAACACCACATACCCACCACCTAGATTCTACCATTACCAATTTCCTGTTCCGTACTTTCATATTCACATCTATCCAACTATTCATCCCTGCTTCAATCCATCCTACTTTTATTGCATTTCAAAATAAACCACGACATCAGGACTCCACCTTCCGTATGTTTTAGCATACTTACCATTAACCAGAATCCAGTGTCTGGCTTTAGTGTGTTCTTCTGAGAGGACATTTACATACAACAAAATGCATAACTTTTTTTTTTTTTTTTTTTTTTTTTGGTGAGACAGGGTCTTACTCTCTTGCCCAGGCTGGAGTGCAGTGGCACAATCCTGGCTCACTGAAACCTCTGCCTCCCGGGTTCAAGTGATTCTCCTGCCTCAGCCTCCTGAGTAGCTTAAAATTACAGGCATGTGCCACTGCAACTGGCTAATTTTTGTATTTTTGTAGAGACAGGGTTTCACCATGTTGGCCAGGCTGGTCTTCCACTCCTGACCTCAGGTGATCTGCCTGCATCAGCTTCCCAAAGTGTTGGGATTACAGGCGTGAGCTACCGCGCCTGGCCCAGAATACTTTAAGAATGCACAACCAGGCCGGGCGTGGTGGTTCACGCCTATAATCCCAGCACTTTGGGAGGCTGATGCAGGCGGATCACCTGAGGTAGGACTGTAAGACCAGCCTGGCCAACATGTTGAAACCCCGTCTCTACTAAAAATACAAAAAGTTAGCCAGGTGTTACAGGTAGCAGACGCCTGTAATCCTAGCTACTCGGGAGGCTGAGGCAGGAGAATCGCTTGAACCCCGGAGACGGAGGTTGCAGTGAGCCAAGACTGCACCACTGCACTCCAGCCTGGGCAACAGAGGGAGACTCCGTCTCAAAAAAAAAAAGAATCAACAACCCAGCCCCAAAGGCACAGAAATGTCACTGTCACTTCACAAAGCTCCTTGCATCCCTGCCCAGTCAAGGCAAGAGATGATGCAGTGAGATTTAGAGGCTGAAGGCGTGAGTGCCTGGGAAGCTGGGGTTGGGGGGTGGTTGGGCATGTGGGACCCCCTCCATGAGGACAGTCGAGGCATACGGCCCGCAGGTCCCCGCTCACTTGCTGTCCGTGCTGTCAGCCACTGTCACAAAGCTGCATGTTCACCAGACTATCTCCCTTTTCTCCTGGCACACCCGAAGACTACATTTCCCAGGCCCGTTGCATCAACGTGGGTCCATGTGAGTAGTTCTAGCCAAAGCAAAGTATGAAAAGGATGTTCACCACTGAGAGGTCTGACCCACTTCAGTGTCGCAGGAGCACTTCTCCTCATTCTTGTCCATGGCACCCTTTGAGGCACACGTTGAAGACAGCAGCATCGTAAGGGAGGAGCCTGGGTCTGGGCACCCCAGCTTGCAGAGCACTGCCAGGAACATCTCCATCAGGCTTTTTGTGAGTGAGAAATATTCATAAGATACTGTGCTCAGCCAATGAGAGCTCGGGGTTATTTGATCCTGCACAGCCTATTCTATTGCAAATGATATGGAAATAAGGAGTGGGTTTCTGCTGCAGCCAAAAAACAGAAAAAACAAACAGTGTCATTGGCTAAGCAGTTGCGTGGCAGGCAAAAAGAATACAGCTCATAAGCTGGACAGCAGGAGATCCGTATTATGCAAATACAAGATATTTGCTAAGACTCTCTTGCTAACTTGGGAGGCAGGTTATGTGCCCCAGAGCCAGCAGCTCTAGGGGAAAGGGACAGACCAGAGAGGATGTGCAGTGTGAGTTGGCTACTGTTGACTGCATTTTGGAATGCTATCACAGTAAGGAGGAAAGAACTGGCTAGTTTGCAAGCAGAAATGAAAGGCAACAAAGAATCTAAAAAAAAAATTAGCATCAAAACATTGCAAAAGGAGACTTTCTAGAACTCTAATGAGATAAGATTGAAAATTGCTTTGAACAATAAAGGTGTAATAAAACTTATCATCTGAACAAAATAACTTAGTCTTTTGGTAAATATGGAATTAAGGGGGTGGCTCTCCCGTCATGATCCCAGATGGCCTCATGGTAGCTACCACTGAGAGAAGCATGGAGGTAAAGCAGCAAGGAAATAAGACAGCTTACGTCTAGGAAATAATTTTGTGTGCTTGAGTTGTCTATTGCTGTGTAACAAATTACCCCAAAACTGTCATTTAAAACCACTATCATTTATCACTTATGATCCTATAGGGGACTGGGCTCAGCTGGGCAGCTGTGCTACACTTGATTCTAGCTGGAGCTGTTCCACTGAGCTGACCAACATGATTACTCACATGGTGGGCTGTTGTCTGGGGCTCATGGGGGCTACTGACAGAACACCTCCGTTCTCCCCGTGTCGCCTCTCCACGTGTTTGAACTTCTCATAGTACGACAGGTGGGCTGCCAGCGGAACATGCCAGGACATCGAGCTCCGCGTGCAGGCATTTATCAAACCCCTGCTGCCATCATGCCACTGGCCCCATCTAGTCATATGGCCATGCCCATCAGGTAAGGGAGACCACACTGGGAGACAAGGTCCATCGGGGGCCACCAAATAACACTCTGACCAAAATAATGCAGTTATTTGCACATGGAACTGATGAGAAGCACAAAGACTGTCACATTTTTGAGGGAACTGTGCCTCTACAAGGCCCATGAGCCTGGACTGAAGCCTCTGGCTCACTCAAAACAGGTCCTGGCCCGGAACCATCCACCCACAGGCAGCAGGTGAGAAAGCTGAGCTTGGCCCAAGAGCTGCAGCCAAGGGAATACAAAAAAGGCCAGCTCCCCACCAGGGGGCAGAGCCCAGAGCAGGGCACCATTAGGTCCTTTCCCTCCTCACCGCAAGGCGACCTCAGTCTGCTGCAGCTTCCAGCACTGTGGGGCCTCTCCCATTCTCTGCTCCTCCAAATGGAGTTGCACTGTGGGGACCGACCCCTGCCCCGCTTTGTTGTTATTGTTGAGGGAA